TGTTGTTTGGTTTTGTTGATGTCGTTGTTGTTGTTATTATTATTATTATTGTTGTTGTTGATGATGTCATTGTTGATGTTGTTGATGTTGTTGATGATGTTGTTGTTGTTGTTGATGATGTTGATGTTGTTGTTGTTTTCGTTGTTGATTTTAATGTCGTTAGTTTTTTAGATGCTTTTTATACTGTTGTAACTGATTGTAGTAGTTGTTGTAGTAGTAGTAATGATAGTAGTAGTAATAGTAGTAGTAGTAGTAGTAGTAATGATAATAATAGTAGTAGTAGTAACAAAACAGCAGCAGTAGAAGTAGCAGCAGCAGCAGTAGTAGTAGTTATTGCTGCTGTGTTTGCTTTATGTGATCAAATGATTAAATGATAGCTTCAGCATTTTTTACAACATCCAAACTATGCCCTCTTCCGTGTTTTATGTTTATATGGTGGGTACAACTTTTTGAATAATTTATAGTTATGAGGAAAATCTTTCAATGAAACGTACATTTTACTCTATGTTATTATCAATAAAATGAAATCACCATCTTTGTCTATATTTTTTTTATTAAATTTAAAATAAGTTGAATAAAATAATTTGTAAGAATCCATACCAATGTATTAAGGATTTAAAAAAAATTTAATATGTTATAGACATGTATTATATGTAAAAAAAAATGTGTGTCTGTATATGTGTGTATGTATGTATGTATGTATGCATGTATGTATGAGTGACACTGAACCGTCAAACATCAAGTAACAAATGGATTAACACTTTGATTTGTATGTATATATGTATGTATGTATGTGTGTGTGTGTGTGTGTGTGTGTGTGTGTGTGTGTGTGTGTGTGTGTGTGGGTGTATATGTATGTGTGTATGTATGTGTGTGTGTGTGTGAGTGTGTGTGAAACTTAGGAGCAATAAAATCTGCGCTAATCACTAACATGATTGAACAACAAATTTCAATGCCATTCATCACAAAACAATGGACAAACTGATCGTAATAAAATTCATTACAATAGAAAAATAACAACAACAACAACAACAACAACAACAATAATAATAATAATAAAGAACAACAATAATAATTGTCCAGTTCAAAGTAACATGATAAGCAATAATAATGATTGCAACGATTTCAAATGTTAAAGATACGACATCAATCATAACGTTAAAAAACATTCCCATCTCGACTGTTCAGTTAACCGCATGTAATGAAGTCTTAAATGGCATTTAATAACATAAAACACACACGCAACAAACATACACACACAAACACACACACAAGCACGGACACAAACACACAGGCACGGACACACTGACAAATATATGCAGGATATATCAACATGGCGTACAATATACGGTGATCAGCTTGTTTTCGAACCCAGCCACTCACAGCAGCAGACCAACATTTACATATACTAATATATGTTATATATATGTATGTGTGTTTGTTTGTTTGTTTGTGTGTGTGTGTATGTATGTATGTATGTATGTGTACATATTAAAACATTTTCCTCGAGGCAAAAAATTCTAGCTAATGATAGTTGATGGAATGGTAATTATGAACTAATAGATGAAACGCGCGAAAACATTTTTTGAAAAAATTTATAAACTCACTAAAACACGTAGACACACGCACGCACACACACACACACCACACACACGCGCGCGCACGTACCTACATATATATATATATATATATATATATATATATATATATATATATATATATATATATATATATGTATATATAATTTATCTATGTACTAATTTGTTTGTGTAAGGTGTAAGGTAACAGAAATTTCGCAAGACACTATCATATTGATGATGGAAAAATTTAAAAATTGGAGTTTACATATTCAATCAAAAGTTTGTGTGTTTATTTGTTTGTATGTTGTTATTTGTATGTGTATTTATGTATTTGTTAAAGGTTAACGGTTGTTTGTATGTTCTTATTTGTATGTGTATTTATGTATTGGTGTGTATTTGAATGTGTGCGTTCACTTATAACATCCCTATGTTCATGTTATGTAATGTAGTATGAACGTGTTTGATTGTTTGCATTGTATGTGTGTGTGTATGTGTGTGTGCGCGCATGTACGTGTATGTGTGCGAAGCGTTGTATGTTTTTTTTTTTGTTTTGGAGTTGCATTCATTAATTGAGTGATGAGAAAACATTACGAATGCATGTAATGAATGTAAGCTACTAATATTTCGGCGAAGCCATCAATCAAAATGACTTTGTTTACATGCAGCTTGGAATAAGTGCCTATGTGTACTCTACCAGTTCTGCTTATATGCCCACGCAATGTCGTTTTTGTATGTATTTTAGTATATGTCTTTATTATCTTCATCGCTGTCTTTTTATCAGTAAGTTGTGTTGTGTGTGTTTTTTGATCTTGTCAAACGCACACAGATACACACACACAAACACACACACAGAGGCGCGCACGCACACGCAGACACACAAGTGTTTATGCGTACTTCAGCGTAAATTGTTTATGTGGTATTACGAGCGTAGCGTAAATAACAGAAAACAATATTACTTAATAGCCCAAAAATGAAACGTGCAAATCACACATCCACAAACTGGCAGTTCTCAGAGCCAAAAATAAATTGAAATCTATTTTTAACTGTCGCCATTTCAAAATTTCAAAAGCATAACAAAGTCATTCACATTAATTTAAAACTTTTTAACATAAATATTGAGACAAAACAATTTTTCCCACAAAGAACTTCATCAAACGTTTCTAAAACATGGAGCGTTAATTGATTTTTATGTCGTTGAATAATTCACATCCTCCGCTTCAAACTTGCTTGAAGCCAATGAATATTACTCCCATGGCGAAATTGTTAACATAGATTTATGTTTCGTTGTTGTTTTGGGGTAAATAAAAATAATAATGATAATAATAAAAACACTTTTTAGCTCTTCTTCGAGTTTATTTTTGCGAATGTCAAGGTCGTTGCGTTCATTGAAATTTATTCAACCGAAATTTTATTTAGGCCGTTGATGTTTTTGTTGTTGACGATATTGTTTGGTTGTTGTTGTTGCAATTGTTGTTGATGCTGTTGTTTGCGAAGTCGTTGGTCCCGTAAAATGTTTCAACGCGAACGATGTTTCCGTTAATATTCTGGTAGTAATTGTTGTTTATTTTGTTGTTGTCAGCGTTGTTGTTGTTGTTATTGTTGCGTTTGCTGCTGTTGTTGTTGCTGTTGTTTTTGTTGTTGTTGTTGCTGCTGTTGATGTCGTTGATGTAACTTCCATTATCTGGACATGAAACGTTGTCGCAAATAACTTCCTTCACATCAACATCATCATCAACAACAACATCAAAAGAAGCTACATTGTTATCAGTAGCTCTATTATTTCTATCGATAACATCAACTACATCAACGTTAACGTCAGTTAAGACATCAATAGCATTGTTTTTAAGAATAACACCAGATAAATTTTCAACGACAACTTCAGCAGCTGTATCATCTTTCGATACGTTAATAACATCAACAAAATTCGCAACATCAACAACATCAACAGTACCATCAACATTGTTAGTTGCATCAACATTAGCTGTGCCATCAACAGCAACAGTAGATAGATCAAAGTTTTTTTCATTCTTTTCAAAATCTTCATTCCTGCTCCTCATCACTATCTCACTCCTGCATTCATTGATGACGTCATCATCAATCTTCTTATCATTCTCTTCTTCCCCTTCGCGACGTATCTTTTCAATGTTCACCGTTCTATTGTTCGTCCAAAACTGTTCCTCATCGAGGTCCTCCCCGTTGTTGGTTATTATTTTCTGAAAATTTTTCTTACCGTCATTACCAATTTGTTTACTCATTTTATTATTAATAATAATTTTACTGTTATTATTATTATTATTCTGTGTCGTCTTTCGATTGGCTAAACATTTGGGGCAGCAGAAATATTTGAGGGCGTGGAGGAGGTTGAGGAAGGAGTCCCTGAAGTCCTGCGAGAAGAAGGCGTAGAGGAATGGGTTGAGACAGCTGTTCATGTAAGCCACGCAGTTGCTCAGCAGCTTTATGATGATCACTGGTGTTGGGATTGATTGGTTGGTTAGTTTGTAGTTAAATTAATTGCTTAAAAACACATTAGTTATTCATTAAAAAATTAGAACACAAAAGAACGTGAACTTGCTGAACACTCACACACACACACATAAACAAACACACTGACACCAACACACACACACACACACACACACATAAACAAACACACAGAGACACCAACACACACAAACGCACACACACACACGCACACACACACACAGAAACTCATTTATACTCATGAATAAATCAATCCTAACTAATGGCGGTATCGTTGAATTTTGTGAAAGCGAAGAGGAGGAAGCAGATTTGAATTGGCAGCCAGCAGGCGGCGAACGTGACGACAACAGCGATCAGCATTCCGGTAACTCTTTTGCGTTTGTTGCGCCTCTTCTGTGAAGGATCTTTCTTTTTTTCTGCAGCCGTGCCAGATGTCAACGCGGAATGTTGCTGATGCTGAGGTGTTGGAATGTTTAACGTAGGCTGTGGCAGTGTTGGAGTAGGAGTTGTTTTTGTAGGTGCTGCATTTAAAAGTGCTGTTGCTGATATTGTTGCTGTTGTTGTAGTCGATGTTGTTGCTGTTAAAGAAATTGATGTTTTCAATGCCGATGTTGCCAATTGTGATGTTATTGATGTTTCGGCTGATGTTGTTGCTAGCATTAATGTTGTAGATGTTGATGTAAATGTTTCTATTGCAGCCACTGGTGTTGTAGATATTGTTGTTGCTGTTGTTGTTGTTAATGTTTGCAAGGACGTTATCATTGACAAGGAAAAATATTTTTTAAACGGTTGACAACGAGATTTTTGCTCTTGAGTTTGTGACGCTGACGATGAAGATGTAGTTGTCGGAAATGCTGATGTTGTGGTTGGATTAGATGGATGGGGTGAGAGACTGGACAAATATGGATCTGCTAACAATTAATGTGATGTGAAATTAATAATTTTTTCATACTTGTAGCTAATGAGTGATAAATTATACTTTGGTTTCTTATAACATTTGCTTTAGTAATCCTTTCAACAACACGATAAAAAAATAAAAAGTTACAAAAATATTAATAACTTTTAATGTTATTTAATTTGTTCATTTTATTTTTGTATACATTTTTGCAACCTTGAATGGACAAGAGCCTCGTAGCTAATCTACACTTCCCTTCACGCTGGTTCTCAGAGATTTCAGAGTTTTTGTTGAGTTGCTGGCTGTTTCGAGGTAAGTTCCTTGGATGTCTGTGCATTCCTCTCTTGAGGTTTCTGTGCAGCAGGCTGTAGAGGACTGTGATGGCGGTCAGTGGGATGAAGAAGCAGAAGAGGAAGAAGGTCGAGTGGAAGGTCTGCACGAACGTCCGGTCCTCCTGGTTTGTTTGTGGGAAGAATTTGGAAGTTGTTACTTTGTCAAAATGTTTTGCTGAATTAATATGAACTGAGTTATTATGTTGAAATTACTCAAAACTATCATTAGCTAAAAAGTCGTAAATATAGTAATGGTGTGACCCTCAATCTACTTTCCTCAACGACCCTCAACGTCAAATTTTTCCTCAACAGACGAAATTTGAAATTAATTAATGAAACATCACCCAACAGACCATACCCATTTTGATTTTTAAATCAGTTAATCAAATAACCAATCACCCAACAACAACAACAGGCTAGTGAACAACAAGCAATCAGCATATTAACCAATAAGCAGCCCAACAAACAACAGCCAACCAAGCAACCAACCAACTACCATGTTGTTGTAGTTGATGAAGTTACAAGAGAACCATCCTTCCTGGTAGAAAGTATCAATTTCCCAGAGTAGAGGTGAGTTGCAGACGATGAGAACGAGCCAAACGAGCAGTGTGGCGATCAGAGCATTTCTAGGGGTGCGCCAATTTATAGAGCAGAAGGGATGCACGATGGCCAGGTACCGATCGACGGCCATTAGGACCATGGTGTACACGCTTGCGTAGGCGTTCAGATACACTCCGTACACGTGTCCGATGCATAAAAATCTACCCAGATGCCACCCGGTGACGAATCGAACGGCCGTGAATGGCACGCAGATAATGACAAACAGCAGATCGGCAAATGCTAAGCTGGCGATCAAAACGTCTGTGGTGGTTGTCGCCACGGATGTCGTCGCCGATGACGTCACTCTCGATTTGTTTGACGCCGGTCGATTGCGACGGTGTCTGTTGTAGATTATTGTCGCGATGACGATTAAGTTGCCTATCGTACCGACCGCTGTTATGATCCCAAACACCACTGGAATGAGAATGTTAATTACGTCCAAGTAGTTGAATTCTTCAGAAACATCATCTTTCTGGTTGTAGTCATAATAATATTGAAAGTGTTTGTCGTCGGTGTAGTTGTTATAATCGTTGCTGGTGTTGTTGTTCGTGATGTTGTGAAATTTAGTAAAGTTGAAAACGTTGTTGTTCGTAAAAAAATGTACTGGCGGCCGTTGCTGTTGCTGCTCCTGCAACATTGTGCTGGCTGCACTCATCCTATTTTTATGTTGTTAGAGTTGTTGTAGTAACGTTGTTGAAGTGTTAAAAATTTTGTTGTGAATTTTGTTGAAAGTGTTTGTTTGGATGGTTTCATTCGAACAATTTTCGCATTCAGTTTTTGTAATCGATTCAAATTGCACTGAAATATTTCGAGTGTTTTTTTTATTTTTTCTTTGCTTTGCGGAAAACATTTTCAGAGTATCCAATGTAAAAATTGTTTTTTTTCTAGCAACCAGATTTCTGTTCAGTTAATGTTAATGATGTTTGAAATTTTTTTTCAACTTTACATTCATCAAAATTAGTGCATGTAGTTTTGTAGTTGCTACAAAAATTTGTTGTTGCTTTTGGTTTTTATTTTTTAGTTGTAGATTCTGTCAAATTTTTTATGATTTTGTTGTTTTTGCTGCTGCAGCTGTTGTTTTTGTTATTGATAATGTTGTTGTTGTTGTTGATGATGTTTTTGTTGCTGTTACCTTATTTCTTTCCATCTTACTGTTCTGTTGAATATAATGATGACAAATTTAGCGTAGCAGTGTGAGAAATATATTGCCTACCAGGCAATGGCATAGATTAGTTTAAATGTAATTGATGCTATTCATGCTCTGGCAGAGGTTTCATTTTAATAAATAATGTTGACGTTGGTTGGATGCTATTAATGTTGTTGATATTTTTCTGGTTATTGATGTCGTTAAAAGAAATTAGGTTAATGTAATCGTTGTTAATGATTTTGTATTTTGTAAAGTGCAGTTGTTGTTGATGTGGCAGATCTTAACTAGTTGATGTTATTAATGTAACGTTGCTTGTGATGTTAATGTTGTTGCTGCTGTAATGTCATTGCAGTGTTGTTGGGATGTAGTTTCCGGATGAGGTCGTTGAGATGTAGTTTCGGGGATGTTGTTCTTGGGATACAGTTGTCGGGATACTGTTGACGGGATGTAGTTTCCGAAATGCTGTTGACGATGTTACTGTTGATAACATAGAAGCATTCTGGAAATGGAAACAATTTACTAGCGAATGAAAATTTTATTTTTATGGATTTTGTAGATGTATGTTCTGCAGTAAATTTTGCTTTGTTTGATGTTTGCAAGCTTGTTTGCGTGTGCCGGTGTGTGTGTGTGTGTGTGTGTGTGTGTGTGTGTGTGTGTGTGTGTGTGTGTGTAGCTACTTTTTTTTATTTTATTTTAGTTTTTTCATTAAATTTATCTTTTTAAAGTTTTTCAATGTTAGTGAATTAAATAAATAAAAATAAATAAACAAATTAAATATCAATTTTTGATGGTGTTCTTAATGTTTCAAAAGTTTTTGAAATAATTTTTCAGGTCAGCAATTAAGAAAAATTATTTTTTAAAAGCCCTCTTGAGAAAATTTTATTTTATTTTTATTTTTCAATGTGAAACAATAAACTGCCGTTGAAGTACGCATTGGATACCTGGTTCATTTCATTTTAATCTACATATGTAGGTTAACTGTGAAATTTTAAAATTATAAATCGGACATAAAAATTTCAGAAAAGTTCAACAATAAAAGAATAATAAAAATTATGGCTGACGTCATAAGATCATACAATTTTTGTTATCTTCGACTATATCTTACGTCATAATATTTTATTTTCTTATAAATTTTTCTTCTAATTATTTAACAGAGATATAAACTAAACACATTGCGTGGGAATCAAATCCAGGAACTGACACAAACAAACACAAACACACAAACACCCTCATAGAAATATACACACAAACACACATAGCACATACTCACATTTAACACACACACAAAACACAACACAAAAGATAACATACACACACAACACAAACATACACACATAACCCAAACATACACATACACACATTAACGCAAACACACACACACAATCAAACACATTGACACAAAAATAAACACACACACACACACACACAAACAAACAAACAGACTATCAAACTGCATGTTGATTTTTTTGGTGTATTTATTTATTTTTAACCTCCGTACTTTCATACGACTGACGCCCATTTAGCGGAAGGATTAAACCGGATTAACTGGATTCAAATACAATCAGTCCAACAATTCATTCATTCATTTGCTCATCATAATTGCTGTTGTGTCTGATTATTATTTAATTATTATTTCATATTTTC